CATTGTCAAGGTCATAGTTCAATCAGCCCCTTCATATCCAACAATTTTTGTTTTAAACATTTTTTTATTTAATCGCGATGTTTCGAGTTATTTAGCTGTCTAAGTTAAAATGGGTCACCCTGTATATACAGCATAAAATTTTCTAACCTTACAAATTTGATGCTCAATAGTTAGAAATTTTTAACTAATGAATTGTGACGGTTTTCACTTGTATGTCTGCATTTTTAATGCCATGTATTAAAATATACACATTCTAAAGTCTTTTAGGTCAAGAATAGTCTTGTCCATATACTTACCGTTTTACACTCGATTCTCGTATCGAAAGGAAGAGAATTGTACTATTGAAATTATGGGAACATGGGACGCCATTTTTATCTTACATTAGAACGTTTTCTATTCCTTACCTACACGCTTAAGCTGGAAACACAATAGACACAGGCAATAGGCACAGGCAACAGGGAATAACGAGTCGTCCAATCAGAGCTCTGGGATATAATATCGAACTTATACCCGAATTATTCCCTGTTGCCTGTGTCTATTGCCTGTGTCTATTGTGTTTCCAGCTTTACACTCGTCAGTCCTGGCTTGCACTAGTTCGGTTCAGTTCAGTTCTAATGCAGTTCCAGTGTAGGAACAGAAACTCATGATATCAAAAGAATTTATCAATTCGCTTTAGGGGCGCACGACTCTCACCTTCGATTCTCACTGAACAACTTTCACCTGAAGTGACTTTCATTCCACTTCCCCCTTCTGCATAGGACGCACAACTCTCACCCCTTCCCCTCTTGCAAGGGGGCGCACGATTCTCACCTTCGACTCTCACCCCTGAAAAATCGTGCGCCCCTAAAGCAGGGGAGGGAGGTGAAAGTCGAAGGTGAGAGTCGGGGGCCCCTGAAGCAGGGGGGAGAGGGGATGAGAGTCAAAGATGAGAGTCATGCGCCCCTGAAGCAAGGGGGGGGATGAGAGTCGAAGGTGAGAGTCGGGGGCCCCTGAAGCAGGGGGGAGAGGGGATGAGAGTCAAAGATGAGAGTCATGCGCCCCTGAAGCAAGGGGGGGGATGAGAGTCGAAGGTGAGAGTCGGGGGCCCCTGAAGCAGGGGGGAGAGGGGATGAGAGTCAAAGATGAGAGTCATGCGCCCCTGAAGCAAGGGGGGGGATGAGAGTCGAAGGTGAGAGTCGTGCGTCTCTTTGTAGGAGGGGAGTGGGGGTGAGAGTCAAAGATGAAAGCCACCTAAAATTTGTTGGAGGTCTTTCAGGGTCATGACCTTGATGACATATATTAAAGTCGCAGTCGTCGGCGCGGCAGTCCCCTACAGTGAACGACTATCAAACATATTTTAAAGTAGGGAATTCTCGTGCTACATAGCTGAACTTTTTTTGTTCATAACTTTGTAATGAATAACAAGCGACGGCTAAAACTTGTTGAAAGTCACTCAGGGTCATGACCTTGACAATATATGTCAAGGTAAAGATCATTGTGGAAGGGGGAGGTCCCCTGATCAAGATATTTACTCCACTGTCAAATCTTACTTAACAATTAAATTAATAATTAATAATTAAATTATTAACAGATTTTTTATAAATAGAGACTAACAAATTGCTTACATTAAAATGTTTATGTGGTTCAAAAAACTCTATTTAACAAATTACATAGTTATAATAAACTATGTGCGAAGAAAATTTGTGAAATTGACAATTATGTAGTTGTTCAGTGATTAACAAATAATAGATTATATGTTTTAACCAATTACTTGTTATAAGAAGTCAAAGATAAATAATCATGTTGTATATACATTACATCGATGTAAGTAATCGTCGGGCGTTTGCAAATCTTTCACGTCAGTAGATGTAATGTAATAGTTCTCCATTAACTGTAAGACATTGGATTCCCAACTAAACGTTCTGTTCATCATCGAATTCATCATATGGGCAATATTCTCAGCATTCGATCTGATGAAAAGAAAAACTTTTTAAATGTTTCAATTCTACATAAATTATATGTTAAAAAAAATTAAAATGTTACGAAGTCACTTCACAAAGGAGCGACGTAAAACTCTTTAATTTTTTAGAGTGAAATCTCATTCCAAAGAATTTAGAGAGAACACTTACGGTCTAGCTACAATAACCGGCCATGGTTTAGATATCCAGATGCACGGTTCCTGAAAGTTTAGCGGTCTCGTGGTGCCGTCCGGGCATAGAAATTTGTAATCTTGCACATCGATCATCTGTGCCTGTGTCAATTACGCTAGATGTTAGTACCGCGAGTTGTGTGCATTGCAATCCATTTAAATTATAATTTTTTAGAATAACTTAGAGCGAGATCGGTTCATTCTGAGCTCACCGTCTCAAAGACATTGCAATTACATTGTCTGTAAGTTGACTTGTTAGTTACCTTGAAGTGTACGCGAGCGTCTCCCAATCTGACCCAGGCAACGTCGCCCATGCCATCGGTGAGGCACAACAGGGCACCCTCTCGTCCATAATATTTGTCGGTGTTGTAACAGCTAGCTGGTTTCTCGCAAGCGGCGCAGAGATTCCTATATCTCGATTCTATGAATGATAATAAGGATTTTCCCGACATTTATTCGTACACGAAGAAATGTAAACTTTCATGCATTACATGTTATATAAATTATATTGTATAAATAAATTATATAATGATTATAAATAAATCTAAATATGCACATGCATATTTAAAATGGAATGTTTGTATTCGCATATGTTTGTAATTGAATACATACTCAATTGATAATCAAATACTGTGTCTGCCGACCAAGGGCCAGCGATGCAAGCCGTTTCGAAGTAGTTGGACAGAGCATGCACTCTGTTCTCGAACAGCGTCATATTTGCGTCGCATTCTTTTTTAATTATCAGATTCTCAAAGTACTGAAATACGAGAGATCAACAGATAAACACGATTCTAAAGCGCACGCTGATACAAAAAAGAGCTCACCAACCATTGAGAAAATTTTAGTCCAATCATCGACTGTATCTAAACCGGGATGACACAATCGCTTTCCCTTGACATCCCATATGCGTTGCACATTTTTGTGCGCTATGGCCACTACTTTAAAACGATGGTCATCTAAAAAAAAGAATATTTTATTTGAGATGATTGTAATTTTAATGTGGTTGATTTTTTGGTATCAAATCAGTCCTGATAATTTATAATAATTGATTTGAAATCAATAAATTCCTTAATTAATTACAATTTAAATTTATCCAAAAATTAGTGATTGAAATTTAAATAAAAATTTATATCGACAAAGTTGAGGTACTTTATGTGCTTCTCGTAATTTTTTATCTTAATAATTACCATCTGAGAAGAGTCTTAATTCATTCGTGACTAGTACACTGTATACTTTGTAGTTTCTTATCGCCACAAGTTCTTCTGGCTCCAACACAGTGATGTCGACATCACCATTGGCTACTCGACGTAAACAGCCAAATCTATAAAGAATTACTTTCATATAAGAAATATATTTTCTAATACACTCGCATTTGGAAAATTGATCAATTTAATCATAAGTTTAATCATAAGATCGTAAGTTTTGCAATCAAATCGGTCTTTCTGAAAAAGCCATATCTTCAATGGATTTTTTAATAAGAGAAAATTATTTTCCAAATGATTCACGTTTTATATATACACATTTTATGTATAAGGTAAAAAAGGTGCTAAAAATATACGTGCTTCTCCAATAAAACCTAAGTGATACGTTATATATCTTTTTATTATTTCAACCTAAGTAATAGTTTTAATTCTTCTTCAAAGATATTTTTATTGGAAGTCTTCTTATTCCAAATTCCAACCTAAATAATAGCAGCTTTAATTCTTTGACAAAAATCATTACTTCTAAAAAAATCATTACTCGAAAAAAATTATTGTACTAAATTAAAAATTAAAATCTAAATGCTACACACATCAGTCTTAACTAGCCATGTTAAATTCTATCATATTAAGGAGGTTGTAAGGCAAATGCAATATGTTAAGAACTACTTGAAAAAATTACAGACTATTCTAAATTTTATTTAATAATAATACAAAAAAAAATAGAAACAATTGACCATCTGGATCAAAAGTTATTTAAATAAGTAGTTATATTTTTTAAATTTGTACTCTAATATAAATATATGAAAATGTATTATAAAATAATGATAAAAATCTCAATTTTTTTATATAAATACTCTAGGAATTCAACAATATTTTTGTAAAGTTATCTTGAGATGCAAACATTAATTGTTTAGTAAATAAATAAAATTTTTTATTTGTTATAAACTAATGGTGAATCTCAATGAAACTTTGCATAAGTCATGTTTAGTACTTAATATATTTATATAAAGCATTTAGATGTTTCTTATTATTTTAACAATTTTTGTTTATAACAATAAAATAACAAATAAAATAAATAATCTATAAAAATGTGTTGCTCAATAAAACCAGAATGTTATGAACACAACTTTCACATGTATGTGATTTGTTTAAAGCAAAAATATTAATATATGTGTTTTATGCCCTTACAACCTCCTTAAAAAGCAAAATCCAAATGGTACTATTTTTGTTATTTAACTCTTATGATATGTATCAATCGTTTAAAAGATTTTATATCTACAACTGGCACCAAGTTAGTTTTCTAAGTGACTTATATTATATAAATGTACAGGGTGTCCCGTAAAGATAGGAACAATGCTTAAGGGAAAATTTTAGAGATCATTTTGAGACGAAAATCTTAGTACCGAGGGAAAATATCTTTTAACATCAAAATATCGGAGGAAAATATTAACATAAGAAATATCAATAATTAACAATGTCAGTAATTGTATCTTCCCATACATGATGGCCCGTATTCAGAACGCGCTTACAACGATGTTAGCACGTTAACATACTATACTTTACGTCACGCATATTATAGAATTTCAGAGATAAAAGTGCGCTTTTATCGATAAAAGCGCGTCTGAATACGGGCCAATATATTTATATTGATATTTACAAGAAGCAATAACTAGCTTTCACTTTTCACATTTTGCGTCATACCATACTCGAACGTGCAAATTTTAGACGGTATAATTCGCTAACTTTAAATGATTACAATTAAAAAATTATTATAGCCTCGACATTTTTGGATTAGAATTTTCGTCTCAAAATAATCTTATAACTTATAACACGTTTATTGTTATGATATATTATTACGAAATGTAATCTTTTAACTTGTTTAAAACAAAAAAAGAAACAAAAGTTTTTAAATATTAAAAATTGAAAAACTTCTATCGTAGAAAATTTCATTGCGTCATTATGCGTTATACTTGCCTATCAGTTTCTATAACACATTCTACCGGACTCTTGGCCAGTTTCGGGCAGAGTGAAAGAATTCTTTGCGTAGTGTGTACACTATCGACTAAGCACAGTGACCCTAAAACATTTTATATTTTGTATAGAATGTTTTTTAATTTAAGACAAGAAATATTTTTGAGGATACGTATTTTATATTAATTACGTATTATTTATCTTTTTCACGCGTTCAAAAACAAATTTGTTAACGTTTATGTAAAGAAACAATTTATTGTTACTATATTGTTGATTATTATAATGACATTGGACAAAAATATAATTTTATTGATACAGAAGAGTTCAATTTTATAAATTTTCCAGATGTAAACGTATTTCAGATGCTTGCCTGGCAAGAAGTACGCAAAAATAGTAAAACAACAATTAATCATAAAACACACACACGCTGCACACACAAGCGCGTGTAACCTTGCAATTATCTTTTACGATGAAACTTGTGTGTTGTATTAGTAAATTACAGTTTAGCGGTTTAACCGAGAAATGGAGAATTATTTTTTCTTCCATAATAAAAATTTTCTTATTAATAATATTTATTTGTCATTTATGAATTAATTTACTTGGACAATATTTCGAAATATGACATATTTCGCTCGCAGTCCTCACTGATAACAAGAACACTAGTTTCGCAATTTCCGTCTTACTTACACTTGTTAGCAGCACTGACGTATTCGTAACTATTTACGAAAGCTGTGACAAGAGAGAAAATGAACCAACAAACTATACGAAGATCCATGGTCGATCTTTGCTCTGCTACCATCCCTTTGAATAAAATCTTCTGTTTAACAGAATTTCCCGAAAAGAGATTTTCCAATTAATGCCACCGCACTCTCATGATTATTTAATATGATCACTATTATCGTACAAAGAACAGTAATATGATATAGTTATCACTGAGTTATATTTTGCTGGACCATCTCAAGTGAAGCCGCCTGTATGCTAAACGTTATATATAATTACAATAAATAATTATCCACTTAATTTAAGTAGTCTTACGCGCAAAGTTTTCCCGTTATTTTCAAAGAATTGAGATATCTTTCAATATGTTAATAAAATATATCTAACAACAAGAAGGACATATGGAATAATAACGTTCATTTTTAGATACACTCTTTCACGTGATATCTAATCGCCGACAATAATAGGTTTCAAACGATTATCTTTTTTAAGGACAATAGATATGCTCACGATACATATATGTAAAATAAAGCTTTCAGCGCAAAGGATGTATTTTTCCTCGTTATGTAAAAACCGAATTAAGTCGAGATTATAATTTGTTATCCAAAAAGTATTGATTTTTCAATGACGTGTATAATTTTTGCGAAACGAAAAGGATAACAATGCGTTCTTTTGTGTTTGGAACACGCGTTTCTGCTGAAATGTTGTCGGTGCCAAAATATAGTAGATATCTAAGTAGAACCGCATACTTTCGCTTTTAGTCCTTGAGACTTTTTGCCGACGCAAGGAATGCCTTTTTGTAGAAGCGTCCAGATTACTTATATCACTGAATCCACATATAATCCACAACTGATTATAATTAAAAACGAAAGTTAGGTTCTCTCCAACTTGAAATTATTCACGTCTAACAATAAGTTTTGAAATATGTTTTCCTCGGTAAATTCTCAAGTATCGTCGATCTCTTGAATAGTTGAATCACTCCGAAAATTTTCAGATTTAAATACTCAAATTCACAAAGGGATGCCCATTTCTCCTGTTACTCCAATCTTGAAAAATGCTGACTCGCGTTCGATCTTTCAACTCTTCCATCGTGTGCTTTTACACTGAGATTCTTTTTCGCTCTTCTTGTTTATATCTACGACGTTCCGTAGGCAGACGAACATGAGAGACGCGTGTTCTGCTAAGAATATGCTCGTGAGAAGACCGCGAGAACTCGCGGTTGAAAATATCATCTGACACGCAATCGCGAGTATAAAATAACCGCACTGAATATGAAAGCCCACGAATCCCGAACGAAGCAGATAAACGACGATCGAAGTTTCTAACTGTCCAGCGGCATGTATCATGCGTAGTTGATGATATCCGGCGCTGATCGGTCAGGAAAGTCCAAGTATGCGGGGAGCTGGAATGATTAAATCTGGTGGGAGAGGAAGAGAGAGAGAGAAAGGAAAGAGATCAAGATAATAACGAGGAACTTCTGCGTAATACGCGTGATGTGTTACGAAAGCGACGGCGAATTATGTTGAAAAGAAGAGAAAGAGAGAAACTAACAATAAGATGGAATTACTTGCTGTTTTAACAGGAGAAATATTCCGAGGAACTTTTTATGGAATGAGAAGTGTTGCTGAAGAGTTATCCAAGTTGCGTTAAAATCATATTTTCGAAAAATTATGTAGATGTTTGTTTCCTATTTTTTGGGACCAGCCTCTTTTTCAGAGCTTTAAGTTTCTTGTAATGTCTTCTTCAGATATACGGATTCTAAATGTTTCTTTTAGATAACTCTGCTTCAATAATTAATGACTAGAACAACATGTGTAGCGCATTCCTCGTTATCGCGTTGTTAAAGAAGATGTGGAACTGAATTTATGAATATTATCGTAAAATGAATTATCATTATTTTATGATTAATTTCCAATGTTCGCTAATATCGATGTAAATTTCAATCGTAAAAGAAAGATAACGTATCAAAGAAGTTTTCATAGAAAAAAAGTTTCGCTTCATGCTTCATGATCAATTCGTATAATAGAAGTATAATTTATTCACTTTATCTCCTCTCGTGTATCTTTTTAATTGGATAATTTACTTCAATATATTCAATCGGAACGTGTGGTTCACGTACACGTGCAAGTGAGTCATACTCATTAATAAAGCCGCAATTGCAGTTTTTATTGCTCTTGTGCATTCTTTTTCTTTGTATTAATCAGGGAATGGAAGTAACTCGTTACTTGTAACGAAGTTACAGTTACAAGTTACTTTTTTGGTAACTTTACTAATAACTGCGTTACTTTTTTTC